CTTCCCAGGGGCATCAGGGGGCGCAGGCCTCCATGTGCTGGGGTGGTCAGAGGACCCGGCTCACTGTCACCTCTTGTCAGGATTACCTGTGACAGTGGAAGCATCTCCTTTTGTGCCTGGTACCAGCCTCAGGCCGTGTCCCACGCCCAGCCAGACCTGGATACCCCTTGTGCCACTTGGCTGCCTCCTGCTCCTCTCGGCATCCGCAATCAACCCATCCCCCTGGGCCGGGCGTTCTGGAAACCCCCAGTGCCCTTGGGACCACTGATAACCCCTCTGCCCTCACAGAGCTCCCTTAATAATTACCTAATGTCCTCTGGGAGGGGAGGCAGAGCTCAGAGCTGTGTGCCAGGGGCAGGGAGGTGCTGGCTGTGCACCTTCAGGAGCTGTCAGAGCAGCTCATGATCCTGCTCCTCTTGCTGACCATCCCTTCTGTCCACTCCTGCCAGGGCTCTCCTACACTTGTCTGATCCCCACTCAGGTGCTTTGAAAACAGGATTAGACCCTCCCTGCACCGCTAGGGATGTGCCACAGGCACGGAGGAGCTGTGAGGCAGGTTGAGGAAGGCGACTGCTACATCTCCTTCCCCTCTTGCATGGCACGAGGCACTGAAGGTCCACACCAGCCCCAGCTGTGTATTGCAGGCAAGTCCTTGGACCTGCTGGGACCTTGGGATTTGTCACCTGGTGCTCCCATTCCACCAGGTTCACTGTCCCCTGCAGTCATTCACCTCTTGTCCTCACCCCCACAGTCAGTGCTGGCACCAGGAGCTGGCTCTAGGCTGGGAAAGCTCTCTGTGGTGTCTGATCCCAGCACAGGCACATCTCTCAGGGCAGCAGCAGGACGGGTGTCCCATCCCTGCTGGGAACCACTCTGACACTCCCACCGGCAGACCAAAGACCCTCGTGACTGTCACCTTCCATTGAGGGTGGCCAGGGCACAAAAATGAACTTGCTTAAAGCTGTGCTGTGCTTCCTGCACACCACTCCCACTGAATTCTGCAGAGTTCAGTTCCACTCAGCACTCAACCACTTCAGAGCCACCTTGTTCAGCCTGTATGGAGAGTTTAAAGTTCAGGGAACTCTCCCTGGGAGCTCTGCATCCCTGAACTGACCACTACCCCTGGACAAGTTGCCAGGACTGCATCGGGAATGAGCAGCCTCAAGCAGCACCAATTTCTTCCCCCAGGCTGCAGCAAGGAGAGGAAGGTGGGAACGCATCCCGGGAGGGAGAGCAATCTGGGATACTTTGTGCTGCTGGGGATTTGCATGTTTGAGCCAAGAGTGACTGCTCTGGGGGTCACCCCATGGAAATGCAACTCTAGGGGTTCCCAAGGATGCATTTCAGCACTGTTTTCATGCTCACCCAGCATCTCAGCTCCAAGCACCCTCTCTCCTGTGCGGAGCAGGTTGTTCTCCAGGGATGCTGCTCCAGCAGGTGCCCAGCCATCCCCAGGCAACCCCAGGGGAGCACTGCCTGGGGGTGGGGTGAGCACCAGGCTGGGCAGCCTCACAGGGTCAGTGGGATGGGGTTTGTAACTGGCTCTGCTCTCCCTCTGTGGTGCCTCCAGTGCCGGGGTGTCTTGGGAACCAGCTGGAAGCGAAGCTGGACAAGCCAGATGTGGTGAACTGGATGTGCTACCGCAAAACAGAGGATTATTTCACCATCTGGCTCAACCTCAACACCTTCCTGCCAGTGGGAGTTGACTGCTGGATCGATAACACCAGGTACCATCCAACTCTACCATGGGAGCTCCCTGGGGAAGTGACCTACCAAGGATCTCCCTCCCCTCTCCTCCCCCTGGCCGTGATCTAGCACACATGGAAAAAAATGGGAGGACCATGGGATTGTTTGGGAACACAAATGACTGGCTACTTCTCTGAGTGTCTGTCCCTTTCTCAAATCCCTGCCATGTGCTCAAGCCCAGCCAGACCACCCTGAGCACCCACTGGAGATGCTGCCATCGTGCCCAGGGCTGCAGGGTCAGGGGGCTGTGATGGCTGGTTCCACCACAGCCTCCTGTCCCAGGATGCCAGGAGAGCAGAATGGACTCTGGCTGGGCTCCAGTGCACCTCACATCCACACAAAGCTTGGAAACAGCCAGCTCCAAGCCACTACCCAGCGATCTCCACCCCAGCCCTGTGTTCTCCAAGGGGACATGGCTCTTCTGCCACCTCCTGTCCTGTCCCCACAGGGTGGTGTACAACCGAACCTCTCGGAAAATGTCCAATGCCCCAGGAGTGCACATCCGTGTTCCTGGCTTTGGCAAGACCTATTCCGTGGAATACCTGGATCAGAGCAAGCTGGCAGGTGAGAGGAGGAGAGGCCAGGGTGTCTGGGGATCCCACATGTCCCCTGCAAATGGAGAGGTGTCCCTGTGTCTGCAGCAGGGACTGGTTCTGCAGAGAGCCCAGGGCATGGGGACTGAGGGACATTAGCCTGGGGGACACACTGCAGTTGAGTGCTGGCAGGGAGCCCCCCATCCTTGACCCCAGGACTCAATGGGATGCACGGAGTCACTACCCCTGACTGGAGGCACTGAGCTACAGGGCTTACCAGGGAACATTTTGACCATGACCAGGACCAGAATGGAAAAAGCTTGACAAGAGAGGAGCACAGACCTAATTCCCACTTGTTCCCTCTGCCCACAGGCTACCTGCACACCATGGTACAGAACCTGGTGAACAACGGCTACGTGAGGGACCAGACGGTTCGGGCAGCCCCCTACGACTGGAGGGTTGGACCCCGTAAGTCTGGGGGTTGTGGCCAGGCCCCCCACGCACAGAGGAAAGCAGGATGACCCTCATTCCATCACGCTCCCCTCTTGTCCACAGAGGAGCAGCCCGAGTACTTCCAGAACCTGAAGGCGCTGATCGAGGAGATGCACGACGAGTACCAGAGACCCGTGTTCCTCATCGCGCACAGCATGGGCAACCTGCACGTCCTCTACTTCCTGCTGCAGCAGACACAAGCCTGGAAAGATCAGTACATTGGGGGGTTCATTTCCCTGGGTGCCCCCTGGGGAGGCTCCGTCAAGCCCCTGCGTATCCTGGCATCCGGTGGGTGACTCCTCGTGCGCAGCCACCTCCTCTTTGTTTTCCTTCCCTCCTGCAGAAATGGAAGGGTGCTGGTGGGCAGGGAAAGGGCACAGTGGTGAAAGAGGTGGGGGACCCAGTTCCTGTTCAGCCTCTTTACAGCCCAGAAAGCCACAATCACTTGCCTAATGCTGACAGCCCAGAATATCTACAAGTCACAAGTCCAAAAAAATGCATGAGATTAAAAATCATGTGCTTGAAGGTTTTAACATCTGGCCCCTTGCATCACCCTTAAGTCACCTGCTAATATTTTTCTCTGTTGCCACAAGAGCCAGAGATATTTTTAAGGTCATCTGCTGTCATTCCATGGTCTTAGGACTCCAGACATACCAAAAAATATAAAGGTTTGAAGGAAAGGTGCAAGTTGGCCACTTATTACTGCTTGCTCCTGTCCCTGCAGGCAGGTGTGGCGGTGCCAGCTTGCAGGGAATGTTCAGGGCTGGGTTGGTCTGTGCCATCACACATCCAGGTTTGTCTCCACTCAGGCCCTTTGAGCAGCTAGAGATGTGGAGAGAAGAGTTTGGAAGGCTGTTCTTGATATCTGCAGGCAGGGGGAAGGAGAGGACGAAAGGTTATGGGCAGGGGAAGAGCTGAGCTGGGAAGGCCAGGGGACAGTGCTGAGTCACTTTGGGGAGCCCTGACCCAGCCCAGCTGCCCAAAGGCTCTGTCTGTGTGGGGACATTGTGGTGCCATTTGTGATGAGCCCTTGCGTGTCCCGCAGGTGACGAGCAGGGCATCCCGCTCATGTCCAACATCAAGCTCCGGGAAGAGCAGCGCATGACCACCACCAGCCCCTGGATGTTCCCCACGACCCTGGCCTGGCCCGAGAGCCACGTTTTCATCTCCACTCCCTCCTACAACTACACCTACCGCGACTACCAGCGCTTCTTCACCGACGTCAACCTGGAGGACGGCTGGTACATGTGGGAGGACATGAAGGACTTGCTGAAGGATTTGCCCCCTCCTGGGGTGGACACCTATTGCCTCTATGGCACAGGCTTTCCCACCGCAGAGACTTACATCTATGATGAGCGTTTCCCTTACGAGGACCCCGTGGACATAATTTATGGCGACGGGGACGACAGCGTCAACACCCGCAGCTTGGAGCTGTGCAAGAGATGGCGTGACCAGCAGAAGCAGAAGGTGTACGTCCAGGAGCTGCGAGGCGCCCACCACTTCAACATGGTCTTCAGCAACCTGACCCTCAGTTATATCAACGAAATCCTGCTGGGGAGCAAAGAGGAGCAGGGGGAGCCAGGGCAGGCGAGATCCAGCCCAGAGGCTGGGAAGCTGGGGAGGATCCTACGTGAACACAAGGTGCGTAAGGAGCCTAAAAAGAACTGAAAGGAGGGAGGGCCAGCTTCCCTCCATGATGGCAGGCACCACAAAGTGCTGTGCAGGGGAGCAAAGGACTTGGAGCTGAGTTTGGAAGGAAGGTGAGCAAGACCAACAGCTCACGTGGATGGGCTGGCACCCACTTCCACACTGATTGGTTCTTCTTTTGGGAATGGTGATTAATTTTACTTCAGAGGCTTGTCACTTCCCACCAGCGGGTGGATAATTAACCATGCTGCCAGCTCATTAACATCACACTTGTGAATTCCAGTGTACACACAAGCCCTTGTCGCTAGCAAGCCATTTTTAGGCACTTTAGAGGCTGTGGACCTGTGGTGCTGTAACTTCTGCTCACTTGGGACAGAGCGACTCACTTAAGAAGAGCAGGCTCTGACTTACCAGGTGGTCACAGAGGGAGCATGGGGGTAGCACAGTAGGGTAGCACAGTAGGTGTGGCTTACAGAGCAGTGAGCTAGGCTCCTTGGGCAAGACCAACTCGAAATCAGCAGATTTACAAAATAATAAACACACTTTGCTTCTGTATGAGCCTGCCTTGTCCTTCAGAGCCGGATGGTGAAGCCAGCCATAACCAGAACGTGAGGTGCTTGCTGCCTGCAGGCACTCCAGGAGACAGGGCTGGGGGAAAAACCACAAGGCCAATGATGCAGCTGGGGTTGGTGATGCAACCAGAGCTGGCAACACGATGTGGGTGACAATGTGGTTGGGGTTGGTGACATAACCAGGACTGGTGGTGCTACTGAAGCACAAGGCAACTGGTGCTGGCAGAGCTGGGATGGAAATATAACCGGCACTGGAAATGCAACTGGGATGGAAATAAAACCGGCCTTGGAAATGCAGCTGGGACTGGCGCTGCAGCTGGGGTTGGTGACACAGCTCGGGGTGGCGATGCAGCCAAGGCTGGAGGTGCAAACAGGGTGGGGATGCAGCTCGAGACTGGCGATGCAGCCAGGGCTGGCAATGCACGTGTGGTAACACAGCGGGGGTTGGCCACGCAACCGAGGCGGCAATGCAGCCGGGACAAGCAGTGCAACCGGGACCGGCTGTGCCTCCGGGCCGGGCGATACCGCCGGGGCCGGGGCCGGGGCCGGGGCCGGGGCCGCCGCCGCCTCGCTGCCGCACATCGCGCGGGGCCGCGGCGAGGAGGGCGGCGGGCGGCGCAGCCCCTGCCTGCTCGTGGCGCTGCGGCCGCGGAACGTGGAGGCGGAGCGGGAGCGGTTCTTCCGCGCCAGCTTCGCCTACGACCCGCAGTTCGAGTACGCGGAGCCGGTGCCCGCCGCCGTGCTGGACAAGTACGGGGCCGCCTCCGACCGCTTCGTGGCTCAGGTGAGGCGGGGCCGGGAGGGATGCTCGGCCTGGAAGGAGGAGGAGGAGGAGGAGAAAGGAGGGACCGGTGCGAGGGTGTGGATGTATCCTGGTGGGGCTGGCCAGGATATGGTCCATGGTCCATAGAATTCTGGAATGGTTTGGGTTAGAAGGGGTTTTAAAGACCCTTTCTACATTTTAGAATTACCTCACACACCCTGCTGTGGACAGTGACATCTTCCACCAGACCGGTTGCTCCAAGTCCCATCCAACATGGCCTTGAACATTCCCAGGGATGGAGCAGTCACGGCTTCTCTGGGCAGCCTGTGCCAGTGCCTCGTCACCTTCACAGGGAAGAATTTATTCCTGATGTCCAGCTTAAAACCAGCCTCAGTCAACACCATTCCTCCTGGACCGTGTGAAACCTTGCCTTCTTTCCTTCCCAGCTGGTGCCTGATCTCTCTCCCCTAGCACCTTTTGTGTCCTGCCTTCAGTACACTCACCCTGTGATTTCTTAAACCTCAGGTTTTACTAACCTCACCTACCTGCAGGAATGGTGCAAGCTCCGTGGTGACATGGGTCATGCTGGTGCTGGGTGATGCCAGGTTGGATGGGGCTTTGAGCAGCCTGGTCTAGTGGAAGGTGTCCCAGCCCGTGGAGGAGGATTGGAGCTGAATGATCTCAAATGTCCTTTTCCACCCAAACCAGTCTGTGTTTCTATGATCAGACTGGCTCCTGCTTATGCTGGGAGCTGTGCTCCATCAGGGACACCTTTTTGGTATGGTTTTGCACTTGTTGCTGTAGAACTAACAGCAGGGGAGCTGGAGCACGTGGGTGACAGCATGGGAAGTGGTCCTTAGCCTGAATTACCTGGTGGTTAAGTCTGGCTTGTTTTCTGGAAGGCCTAAAGGTTGCCCAGTGCAGCAGCATCCTTAAGGCATCAGCAAACATGGTCAGTAATGACATTAATTGGTGAAGACACCACTTAAGGAGTCTGTATTATTTTGTTTAACTGTTTCCATGGCTTATATGCTACTAAAACATTTCTGAGTTGCTCTCTGCCATGGGGATGGCACTGAGAAAACTGAGAAGACAGCTCCTGGTCATTCAACAGGTGAGAAGAGTCAGGGGTTTGCTTCCAGGGTGCTGTGCCCACAAACAAGCCTTTTGTGGCTGCAGGAGTAGAGCTGCTCTGTCCCTTCGCCCTGTGCTTGGAGCTGAGAGCCTGGCCATGTCCCAAAATCAGTTTGCAGCTGGGAGTGAGCATCCTGCCTCTAGGAAGAGCATCCTTCCTGCCACGTGAACCAGTGAGCAGATAAAACCCCCCTCTTATCCCAAATTCACACACCAGAGGTGTTTCTTTGCACCTCTCAGTCGGGAGTTACTTGTTCAAGTAACAAATTCCTCACTGATGTATTTATTGTTTTTTGAATGTTTTGTTTTCCCCGCATCACTGCCCGTGTCTCTGCCTGGATTATTACCCAGATGATTCAAGCCCTTTCTGTATCCAGCTTTCTGAGCAGTTTGTCATTCCCAGTGTGTGCCATACCTCTGCCCCAGATAAACTGATGCCAGCAAGGCTCTTGCAGGGGAGACACTCTGACGCCTGCAAAGGCCTCAGAGCTTTTGGCATTTCCCTCCTGTATTTCATTCCCTGCCTTGTGCAGTAAAATGAGTTGCTGAGAGCTCGTTCACCCCGTGCTTTTTCCTTCGGTGCGGTTGGCTTGCAGCCGAGTAAAAGATGAATAATTGAGATTATTTCTTCACTGGGCAGGGCTTTGAGTGAATGGAATGAAGGTTTGTGACCACTGTGGATCCTGGAAGCTTTTGCAAGAGATACTAAGTGTTGAGTGTTTCTGCCAATGTTTCTCCAGGTTTTCTGGTGAGGCTGGGACGGGACAGCATTCATGGCACTGTTCCTCTGCTCTTACCCTGCAGTAACCTCCTTCCAGCCTCTTTTATTTTGGGAAGCATTTTTCATTGGCAGCTAACTCTTAGCTATAAACTGCTTTTATTTTCAAAGACCTCTGTTAATAATGGAGATTAAATAAATAAGACATTTGCTAAGTCAGCCTCCTTGGACAGTAGCAGGCAAACCAACACCACCTCCCTGCTTCCAGCTGCTCTGCTTGTGCTTGGGAGGTTATTTTTTTTTCTTAATAGAAAACTTAAATAAGCCAGGAGGTTCTTCCATCCCTGTGGAGGCTCATCACCCTGGAGATCACATCCCTGGTTTGCCACGTGAATTTGAGTGGCACCAGCACAGAGCTGGAGGATTTGTTATCCCACTGCATATGTTGGGTGCATGAACTGGGGATGCTCAGAACATTAAACTTGGAATCTCAGGAAATTTGCTCACCAGGATGTGCTCTGAAGGTTGGGAAGCAGCTCTCTGGTTGTCTTACTCCTGGGCACCAGCTGTGCTGGGTTTCTCTTGGCTCAGTGATTTGGGTCCCCTGGGAGGGGAGAGAGCAAGAGGTTGACAGAGGTGGGAGGATGAAAGGTTGTTTTTCTGCAGTGGTCAGCTGAAGGCACCTTGCAGTGCTGTAAAAATGAGTCTGATTGTTCAGCAAACAAAGCAAAAAACCCCCAAAACCCCCACCCCAGAAAACAAAACTCACAACAGAAAAACTGTGCACAGCTTCTCCTGGAAAGACTCAGTAAATGACTTGAGAATAAAAACCAGCTGTGAAAACTGCCCAGGGAAGGAAAATCAGGGCCTTCTGCAGGGACAGAGGAGGTTGCTCACCAGATGCAGACCTAAAGCCCCTCTTAGGATCACAGAATTTTTTAGATGGGATAAGACCCTTAAGATCAAGTCCAGCTGTGACTTAAGCACTGCCAATCCCACCACCAAACCACGTCCCCAAGTGCCACATCTACATCTTTTAAATACCTCCAGGGACGGTGACTCCACCTCTGCCCTGGGCAGCCTGTTTTAATGCTTGACAACCCTTTCCATAAAGAATTTTTTTATAATATCTGACCTAAACCTCCCCTGGCAGAACTTGAGCCATTTTCTCTTCTCTTACGGGGTATTGGATGATTTGAGCACCAGTACTGGTGGTGAGCACCCATCTCCTGGTCCTGGGTAACCTTAGGGACTAGGGAGGGACAACAAGTGGTCCAGGACTGGGAAGCTTGGCAGCAGCCCAGCCAGGCTTGCAGATGCAATAAAACTGCTGGAAAAACTCCAGAACTGGTTGAAAGTCATCTGCTTTGGAATATGTACTAATATGAATATAATGTCTAATATTAATATATTAATATATATTCAAATGGCTGGAGAAAGTAATTGCTGGAAAATGTCTGCAATGGAAGCACACTTTTTGGGGAGGAAATGTGCTAATAAATGTTCATACTATGTAGATGCTCCATAAATGTTAATGTGAATAATGGAGCACGTGATGCTTTTATTAGAAGGCTGATGGGTGTACAGCAGGCTGGGGGTGCTGAGATGCTGTTTGAAGCAGCATCACTGCAGAGGGTGGTGCACAGCCTCACTGCTGAGCTTGGAATTCAGCCCTGGAGTAAGAAACTCTGGGAGTACAAAGCAAGCTCAGAAGCTGGAGATCTTTGTGCAAGCACTGGAGTTTGCAAGGAGAACTGAAAGCAGAAAAGATTGAAAATAATCATGGATTTAACCACACTGCGATGATGCAGTTTCACTTCTGCTTTGCTCCATTTCTGCAAGAGTCGCCTGCAAGGGTGACAAAGGGCAGAAGGAATATGCTGTGGGTCGTGCTGATTGTGTGAAGTGTCCGTCTGTCCTGGTGGCCACCTCCAGCCAGCTCAGTCTCCTTGGTTTTTTAGGTCCTGCGAAACCACGTGGTGTTTTATTGGTGTTAATCAGGGGTTGCCTTCACTGGCTTTGTTGCACGTGGGATTTTAGGCTGTGTTTGTAAGTGAGGAGGTGTTTGTGCTTATGTTGGTGCTTTCTGTGTGCCACAGGCCATCAGGATCATTCGTACTGTCCTGGAGAAGTACGGGACCTACGAGAGCTTCGAGGTGGCCACGGGCGGGAGGCTGCTGAGCAAGTGCCAGATCTGGTCCGTGATCCGAAAGTACATGCAGAAGGAAGGCTGTGTGGGAGAGGTAATCTGTGTCCCTGCTTTAGCACTTGTAAAACACAGCAATATTTATTTTCTGATAAAAAGGACTCTGATTAAGAAATGTTTTGGTTACAAAGAGGAAGCTTTTCTGCGCTGAGCGATGGTGTCCTTTCACCTCCAGCTTCACATAGCCCAGCTTTAAGACATGGGTGCTGGTTCCCCACAGACTTCCTGTGATGTTTTCCATGTGTATCTCCCTTCTGTGCTTGAGAGAGAGGGAGCAGCTGCTGCTTGTCTGCATGGCCAGGAGCCTTTTGCTGCGTGCATGAGGCATCAGTTACTGTTGGGAAGCTGTCTCTTGCTGTTGGCAGTGGGAGGGCAGACTTCTCCGACAGCTGCCTTAACCCACATGTCCAAAAGCAAAGCCAGGGGAAGAGATTTCCTGCTGTCCTGCAGGACATACAGGTTATGGTGCTTTGAAACCCCAGGCTTGGGTTTTAAGGCTGGGAAATACATGGTTAAGATACAACAGTAGCCACGTGGGTTGGAGCCATGGGAGAAGTTCAACATCCCCTAACCTGGTTTCTCTGCACTCCCTGCAGCATCCAGCATGGAGCATGCCACAGCTGCCATTAAGGAGCCTTTTTTATCCCTTCTGCCAGCAAGGTGTGGGCAAAACACAGCCGCTGTCCTGAGTTCAAAGTCTGAGAAGGATTTCTGGACCTGGCTTTGCGTGGGTTGGCTTGCAGGGCTCCCTGGGGCTGTCGGCTGCAGGGCAAGGACTGTGCGTTGCTGGCTGGTGTGGGGGCTTCCTCACCACTGCTTCTTGGCCAGACTCTATTTCCTACCTCTGATTTTTCACCTCTGTCTCCAAAGAGGGTTATTGGTGGGCATTTCTCCAAGGTATCACCTCACCCAGTGGTACCCAGTGCATTCCGTGCAGGCAAAGCAGGAATGAGAGCTCCCCTGAGGTCCCTCCTGCCCAAGGACATTTCATTTCCTCCTCAAACACCCTTGGTTTGCCCTGATGCCTCCTGAGGGTGTTCCTGGGAGTGGATTTGGCACCTTGGTCCTCCTAAGCCTTTGCTTGGGACAGAACAGATTTCTGCAGATGTTTCCCTATAATTCGTCTGCCTTTGAGTGCCCAGAACCAGTCCCAATACCCAGCCAAGCAGCTGCCAGTGTTACAGACCTGCACTTACAACTTGCTAATTGAGCTCCATCTCTCTGGTTTATTAATTGATTAAATTCACCTACTCTGTTCTCCATTAATTGAGCCCTGGCTGGGCAGAAAGCCATTGATTTTCTCACATATTGGTGTACAACTGGCTTCCTTCCAACCCTGTGTAATTGTCCCTGTGCTCAGAGCTATGAGGTGCTGGGCTCAATGAACCCTGTGGGTCTCTTCCAGCTCAGGACATTCTGTGATTCCAGGCAATGCAGAGTTCAGTCACTGTTTGCACATCGGTGTGGCTGTTTTATCTGGGGCTTTTGATATGTGCTTTGGAAACAATGAAAGCATTGGTTTCTTCCTTTCTGTCCAGTGGAAATTTTGCTGGATGTGTCTGGGGTAGGGAAGAGAGAAGGGTTTCACCTGCTCTCCATACAGCCACGTTGGCAGAACTGGCTCCATGTACAACACCAAAACTTGTTGAAACTTCTGCATCACTGATAATCTCACACCTCTGGGGGAACTGGGCGCTTTCAGGCGTGTCTCCCTCCCTGCACCTGTATCTCTGATTCCTGACTTTCACCACCTGTGCCCTGCCTGTTCTGCCGTGCCCTTTGCTCCCCTGATACCTACTAATGGTGATGGCTTGCTTAAAAGAGAAGAAACTCCTGTGGGGGTAGAGTTAGCCCAGAGCACGAGCAGCTGGTGTGTCCCTGGCCACGGGCAGTCCTGGCAGGCAGCGTGGCCAGGCTGGTGGCAGCCTCTGCAGCTGCCCTTTGTCCCCAGCACCGACTGGCAAAGGCAGGATCCTGCTTCCAGCACCGCAGGCAGCGCGCTCCTGGGTAAGTGCTCATGCTGGAATTAAATTTGTGCCCTCAAAAGCTGCTTTGCTGGGTTCCAGGCTGCAGATCCTGAAGCTCTTCTTTTTTTCTGACTTAGACATGATGCTGCCAGAGGTTTCCATATGGATTTCAGTGGGCTCACGTCTGGCAGCAGAGAAACACCGGGCCCCACTGGTAAGTGCTGCATGGCAATCCTTGGGGTTGTGGAGTACTGTCTGCCTAAACAGTGCTAGCTGGTGTCTCTTGGGATCCCATCAATGGCCTCCCTCTACCTCTGAGCTGCTTGCTCAGTGTCAGAGGTCCTGAGCAGTGCCAGGAGAGACAGAACCCACACCCCAGTGCCATGGGGACCACCAGAAGCCTTCCCTTGGTTCCTTGGGATCAGCTCTTTCTCCATCAGTGCATTCACAAAAGCTGAGCAAAACCATGGACCACAAGGATGCACTGGGGATGCTGCTCAGAATGAGAGAGGTCACAGGCCTGGGGAGCTGGTCCTGCTGCTCTTTGGCTGGAGTTGGAGCCCTGGTTGTGTCTGCAAAGCTGGAGGCAAAACAAGGCAAGTGGTGCTGCTCAGCAGGATGAGTTTTTGTAGCAGGAGAGGAGCTGCAGTGCAGCATAAGAAGCTGTGGTTTCTGGCACTGCCCAGAGTCCCTTTCCATTGCTCCTGCATGGCTGGTTCTGCACAAGGAGTCAGAGGTGAACTGACAAGGCTCAGCATTGGAGGGATTCCTTTTCACACTGGTATATTTTGACCCAGGTAAGCAATTACCCTGTAAGTATTTTATGCTGTTTGCCCAGTGGTGGACTCTGTTAGGCTGCACTTTTGGCTTTCATAATAATAATAATAAATCTGACTTAAAGCAAACCAATTCAGTCTCCTCTCTTTTTTTAATAGGAGAAGAATTGTCATGTAGTAACACAGGCATGTTTTCATCCTGAAAAGTGTCAGTTACGAAATAACAGGTGGTTTACAGAGTTAATAGGTATGTAGGGGATTTTGATTGCTCTCCTGAGGTTTGCCACTGTCAAACCTTGGATGCAAGGACTCCCGGGGCCATCATCTGGTGATGCTGCAGCTTTGAGTTGCTGCAGATCTGAAGTCAGGTGGTCAGAAAGTGCTGCTGGCTGGCAAGTTAACTTCTGGTGAGCAGCTCTCTTGGCTCCAGTACCTGTGATAGCCAGGTTTCTCAAAATACCAGTTTTTTCTGCATGAAGATACTGAATAGTCCTATACATGCAGTGCCCATCCCTGCTGTGAGTTGTGGCCAGCACACACAGTTGCTCCTGTGAGGGTGGGCTGGCATGGAGCCATCCTCACTGCTCATGTCTTGAAGCCTCAAATGAGAGAATCTGTGGAGAAGTCCATGAAAATGGAACCAGAGCCTTGGATCCCTCAGGAGATGTTTCTTGGGGAGTGCAGAGCCATTACAAAGCTGGTGCTGTTGGGTGTTCAGATTGCAGTTGTTTTGATGGCCAAAGCTCCTGCCCTATCCCTTTGCCAGTGGGGATGCAGAAGGGGGACCAGGCAGGTCTCCAGAGGATGTCTGTCCTGTGTGGGGAGCCCATGGGAACAAGCCTGGAGCCAGAGGGGTGCTGCAGGAGGCTGCCCAGGAGCTGCCTGCTCCCCCCACAGTGCCTGCTCAGCTTTGTTGGCTGTAAAGAGATTAAAGGAGCTACTTCATCCCTGCATGAGATCATCTCTCTCCTCTCATTATCCCCCCACCCCCAGTGGCTCTTGCTGTCTGCCATTCCCTTGGGGAGCTGCAGCACAACCCAGTGACAGTACAGCACTGCCATCCGTGGTGTCAGTGGCTTTTTCTGACCATCTGCCACCATCTCAGCCTCTGCTGAGAGCCAAGCCCCGGCTCATGGCCACTGCCTCCTCCTCCTCCTGCAGGTGGTGGTGCAGCTCACGGATGACCTCCTGTCCCAGGCCGTGATGATGGTGGAGGACAGCCGGCCCACGCTGGCCATCAACCTGGCGGGAGCACGGCAGCACTGGCTGGAGGGGATGCTGCGCCACGAGATAGGTCAGCTGGGCCGGCTGAGGGTGGGCCAGAGCTGGGGGCGCTCTGGGCATTCACTGCTGTCCCCTCTCCCCAGGCACCCACTACATCCGGGGGGTCAACAACACCCGCCAGCCCTGGCACAGCTCCGAGGGCCGCAAGCAGTACAGCCTGAAGCCCGCCAACCCCACGGAGGAAGGCTTGGCCAGCCTGCACAGCGTCCTGTTCCGCAAGCAGCCCTTCCTGTGGCGGGCAGCCCTGCTCTACTACACCATCGAGCGCGCCAGCCGCCTCTCCTTCTCTGCCCTCTTCCAGGACCTGGAGCAGTATGTCCAGGATGCTGGGGTCCGGTGGGAGTACTGCGTGCGGGCCAAGCGGGGTCAGACGGACACCTCACAGCCAGGTACCACTTGGGGGGCGTCAGTGGAGTGTTTGGGAGAATTCTATTTACTTATTTTATATATTTCTTTTTTGTATGTTCTGCTGCTGTGTAGGTTGAGCATCAGCAGTCCTGTAGAGTGTGAGTTGGCACAGGCAGCCAGAACAGGCACAAACTCATGGCTAGAACACAAAAAGTAAATTTATTTGCATTACCTCCCTAACTGGGGGATCCCCAGAGCAACGCCCAACACCTGGGCAGAGGAACACAAGATCAGAGGGTCACCAGCCTGCTGTTCACAAGCTTATCAAGAGTTACACCCAGGTGCAAGGTCACTTGAGCAATTTACAATCCTCCAGATCAGTGTTTTGCTTTTAACCCTTTCCTCCCAACACGGCCACAGCATCCAGTCCCCGTATCCCTCCCCATCCCGAGCACCACTCTCCCTGTCCCATGGGAGTGACTTGCACAAGCTCTTAGGGAAGCAGCAGGCAAAGGAGAGGAAGCATTTGGATACATTTGGATGCTTGCAGTGGTTTATCCTTTAAAAAATTACTTGGGAAGTATCCCAGTGGGGTTTGTGGCTCTGGCTGCACCCGGCTGCCTCCCCAGTGCTTATCCCTTGGGACACAGCGGTCCAGAGCCCTGGCACGCTCGTGGGCAGTGCCCTCACTCTGGTTATTGTGGTCAGCAAACGTTCAGGCAAGTGGAGGGTGGTGGAAGCCAGGAGCCCTGTGCCAGGCCTTTTCTGCTGTTCCAGGCTGTTTCAGTAAGGATCAGGTGTACCTGGATGGGATTCTCCGCATCCTGCGCCATCGGCAGACCATCGACTTCCCACTGCTGGCTGCGCTTGGAAAGGTAAGAGCCAGGGGGAGGGTGGGGCAAGGAGTGGCTGAGCCCACAATCCCATGCCATCCCAAAGCTCACACAGGCTCCCTCAGTCTCATGGCTTCCCAAAAACCAGCCCTTGCCTGGCAGCCCCTCCCTGTGCTCATGGGGTCTCTGTGTACCAGGGAAAGGCTGTGCTGGAGCTCTTTGTCTTTCCCTGCGCTCATGGATCTCTGTGTACCAGGGAAAGGCTGTGCTGGGTAGGATGCAAGGAAGGACAGGAAAATCCACAATCCTCTGTGGGAGACCTTCGGGAAGAGGCTTAACCCAGCAGGTTAAGCCTTTCTGGCCCTTGGCCACAGCAGTCCTGCTGTCACCTGTCCTTGCAGTGACCGAAAATTACCAAACCCACAAATCCTCGCAAATCCCACACCCCCAGCAGCTCTCCTACTGCCTCCCCACCAGCAGCAGGGATGTTTTGACTGACCCAGGGGTGCTGCAAGGGCACCAGATGCCCCCCATGGCACTGCCAGGGTTTGGGATGGAGGGCACTGACCCCCATCTCCGTGCTTCCTGCCAGGTGTCCTATGAAGACGTGAATCGGCTGAAGAAGTTCGGGGTGCTGGAGAAGGCCCGCATCCCGCACTTCATGCAGGATCTGGAGCGCTACATGAAGCAGCTGGATCACATTGTCACCACCAATGGCCTGAACGAGGAAGAGCTGGAGCAGCTGCTGCCTGACTGAGGGGCACCCCCTGAAGCAGCACCCCGAGGGTGTCACTGGTGCTGTTACTGGGTATTTCCTGGGGCTGGAGCAGGGGGCAGAGCCCGAGGCGGGCGCTGTGCATGTAGCGCTGTGTAGGGTTAGCGCGGCCAAGGGCCCGTGTGGTTGTGTTGATGTGTCCCCTACATCGTCCCTGTGTATTTTGGGGATGCCTGTGCTGCTCCACATGGCTTTGGGGAGCCAGAGAAGAGGGTTCAGGGAGAGTGAGGGCAGAGCTGGGGCTATGCTGGTCCCCGAGTGCAGAAGGCTGTGCTGGGGGGGTTGCAAAGGGGGGATTGCTGTAGGGTACCAGGAGTGCTCCCAGCACTGTGGGGGCACCTGCTGGGGGCTCTGGGCTGAGCCTGGCAGGGAATAAGGGCTGGACTGCACCCACAGATTGCCCCATGGATGCCTTTTCCACTCCCTACCCCTTCCCTCATGTCACCCACCAGCAGCAGGAAGGACTTTCATCCCCCATTACCGATCTCTGCCCAGCTCTGCACCCCGACTACAGCCACCCTGCCTGGCTTTGAGGACTCAGGGTGGGAACTGGGCTTGATGTTAGGAAAAAAGCGTGTAATAAAGGTGATGTAATGGAAAAGACGTGTGGGCAAAAGGTTGTGGATAGCATCAAAACCCAGGCTGGCACCACTGTGAACACCCACCGTGCCTCTTGCTGGCACAGGCAAAGCTGCATGGTCTGAGCTGCTGTGTCAGGGGCTGCAAGGGGTCATGGACTGTGACAAACAACATACTGGACAGGGACACCAGTGCATAAAAGCAGGCAAAAGTAAAAACTGCTCTGAGCTGTTCCTGGTCTCTTAACACATGTGGTCTGCAGCAGTCATGGCACCCCTGGGAGTACCCTCGTAAGAGAAAACAAAACAAAACCCAAACCAAGCAAACCCCACAGCTTCTTGACTTACATCCCACTGAGCTCCGGGAAAGGTAGCACAGGCCAATCTGTGGCTCCAGAGAGCTCCCAAAAGCTCCAAGTTTGGCTGCAAGCCCTGTTCACAGCATCCCCAGCTGCCCCTCACTCCTGATCCTGCAGGGCCGCTGCAGATTCTTCACAGGGTGCAGAGGCTGTAGCAGGCAGGGCAGCACAAACCGAGCTAGGGAAAGGAGAGCACTTATCTCTGGGGATTCTGCTCCCCTCTAGCCCAGCTCTCCAAGAACATGCTGGCACTGTTCACAGCTCCCCTGCACAAACCCACTGCCAGCACGGTCAATTAAGACTCTGCTCTTTAATGTACTATTTCCTCCAACATTGCACTCCCCAACGCTGAATGCGATACAGCGCTGCTTTAAAAAGATATTTACACACATCCCAGCATCACCCCCTTGTCAGCCCAAGGAGCAAGGCCTCAGCCCGTGCTAAGACCCAACCAGGGGAAGTCTCTTGCGGCCTTTCTGTCAGAATGGCAGCAGTGACAAAGGGCAACAGAGCTACTGCGGTGGTTCTGGATTGGTTTTGGTCGCATCCCTGATGAAATAACAGCATGGAGATGGGAGAGGTGTTGATCTGTGCCCAGGCAGGGCTAGAAGCGCTTCATCTGTCGGCGCTCCTGCCGCCGCTGCTTCTTCTCGTTGGGCTCCTGAGCGGCGGGCGAGGACTCGGCTGTAAACCAGGGCCCCAGGATGTTCACCCACAGGAGGTAGAGAGCGCGCCCCGGGGCCTGCAAAACACACGTGGCACAAGCTCAGGCACCCTGGGACAGGAGGGCTGGTCCTTCTGAGGGAGACAAAGCAGCTGGACCACAGGCAGCTCACGGTGCACGGAAATCAAAGGCAGTGGCAGGCGCCCAAAACAAACGGCCTGATTTCATTCCATGGTTGAGGAACAGAGCTCAGACTTCATCCCAGCATCAGGTCTGAATTACCCAGAGGGATCCAACTGTCCAGACATTCCACCTCTCCTTCCTTCGGAAAACACACCCACATTTCTTTGAATTTATGAAAAAAGCAATCCAGATGGTCTCCAGGGGACAGCCGAGTCTAGGCTGCCCTCTGCCAGGCCAGCTAGAGAGGAATTTGTGGGTGAGGACTGAAATGAGATCAAGGACTGAACTGGGATAACTTTCCGTGCTCCCACAATTGCCTTCTGTACCTTTGTGGGATATCCTCAAAGCAAATGTGGGATTTTTTAACTAAATGGAGATTTCTTTTTCTCCTTCTGCACAAGCAGTTTTAGCTGGAGACACATGACATACGTTTCAGGAGCAGAAAGAGTTTGGTGTGTTAAGGGGAATGAAAGCCTGTAGCTTTTTATCTACCCAAAGGCACAGTGTCCAGCAGATCCCAGCCTTGGTGCACGCTGATGGCTCAAACAGCCAAACATGATGAAACACTGTTTGTTACAGACACAGAAAGACTCTGTGCACCAAGGACAGCTTTGATCTGCCTCATGTTGCTTGTTGCACTTTCATGGGACCAGAGGGAAAGACAAAGGCCAGCCTAGTATTTGCGTGGTTGACCCACAGGGATCAGGACTTCTTTGTTCTTCCTTGTTCAGCCTAAATTTTAAACAAGATGTGACAAGGAGATTAAAAAACATATCAGAAAATAGTCCAGTCCTGAAATACGACACTGAAATGAAATGGATAAATAATGTCCTCCATCCTGAAGACAGGGAAAGGAAGCAACAATGCAGAGCAAGATGGAAAACAGCAGGGGCTGGGGCTTACCAAGAGCCAGAAGTACCAGACGTAGAGCGAGAAGCAGCTCAGCACTTGGACTATAGCTGTCAGCAGGATCACATCCTTGAGGTGCCTGAGGGAACAAAAGCAAAGCATTAATCTTTCATTCCAACCCCTGCCAAACAGGCAGCTCCTGTGCCAGCACCGTCTGCTCTGCCCCAGGGGAGTGACCCTGCCCAGCCCAGGGACTGTCCCTGCAGCCCTGCTTTGCCACACAGTTATCCAGAAGAATCAAAGCAGCAAACAAACAACAGCAAAATACTCTGATGAATTAAAGAGATTATTTCCATCTCAAAAAAACAACATTGAGAAAGCTGAGGAATTGCTGGGGGTTGGAAATCAGCAACAAAACCACCCCCCAGCCCCACAGCTGAAAGAGCAGCCAGCACTGCTGATTTGACACCCAAAATGACATAAAGTGTAACTCCTCACGACTGGCTGTGCTGAAGGGAGCCATGAATCTTCCCCTTGCCATTTCACAGGCTGACAGACACTTGGGGTCACTAAAGGACAAGCACAGGACACGCTGAGCTACAGCAACACACGGCTCCTCCTCTCCTCCTGCTTATCTGACTGCAGCTCTTCCGTGCCAGCCTGAGGCAGAGTTGAGAGCAGCCAAGGAGAGGAATAAGCTGCCCACACCTGAACCACAACCCTCGGGGGATCTGACTCCCAGGAGAGGTAAACAGGCATTAGTTTTTCAACACACGCCTCGGGGAGTGCCATGAAGGTTTAGAAAAGAGGCCAACTCTCTGGTTAAATCATCATCTGCTGGAGTAAAAAACCCTTGAGTCACATCCAAGACTGGAGACAAGAAAACAAAGGCTATAGCATAAACAACATCAACTCAAGACACTGCAGAATCCACCATCAACAGCTCTAGCACAAGACACTGAGGCTTCAGTGACCTCTGGCATTACCAGAGGCCACAGAGGGGTGAAGGCAGAGCTCCCACCAAACCCACCTCTCCCAGAGACCATGAAGATGGGCCTTCTCCAACCCCAGAGCAACACAAGGCATCCATTTCAGCAACAGACAGCATGAGAGAAATGCCATGAAATCCAGTGTTCCAGAAACAGCTCCAAAGGAGCAGCATTAATCAGCTGCAGCACACTTAGCTAAGAGGCTGGAAATATCCACTGCTTTCTGAAATACCTGCTAGCCTAGGGGGCTCCCTGATCCCCAGAGAGGTAATTTAGAGGTACAGGGTAAGGATGGGAACTTCAGCTCTGAAGGTTTTGTTTTTAGAGCTCTGCCTCCCCTGTGTTTTGCATAGCCCATGACTCAGATAAGCATTAATTCATTTTAATGTGTGATAAACCCCACCCCAAATGCTCAGGCAGAAAAACCTCTGTGCCTCAGTAGCAAGGGAAGTACATCTGCACACCCAGGACTGCAGCAGTGCTCTGGCTGTGCCTGTCACCTTTTCACAGCAGGTGCTGGGATCCCTGTGCTGCCTCCTGTCAGTCACTTCCCCTGACAGCACCATCAAAGTTTTGTATTTTCCCTCTTTGACTATCCCACATTGTTTCACTAAAAAGGTATTAAAAATCTTTTGCAATTCCACTCTAGAGAGCCAAAACAGTGAAAAATGGGAGCAAAACACTTGGCTGACCAGCAAGTGACCAGCTCATAGGTCACAGCCCTCTCCTCCTGGCCACCTTGTCCCTCTCTGTGTCTCTTATACCAGACATCTGAGTCACCCCTGCTGCAGGCAGAAAAGGTACGATTCCACCAATCCAGACTCAAGATGAGAGCTCATCCTGTGCAGAGACAGCAGGTTCTCTTCCCCACTGCCTGCTGATAACATCCCCAGGCAAAAATCAAAATGTAGATTAATAAAACTATACACATCAATATATGACCCTGACAGCCTGAGAACACCTGATGCAACAGAAATGGCACAGCTGGAAACAAGGCCCCACTGTGCTTCTTCAAAAGCCTGGCAGCAAGGGAAGGACAGAGGTAAACCTGGAACTGCAGCCCAAAGACATGGGAGGAAGGAGCCAAGGACCCCAGCACCTCGCTGAGCACACGCTGAAGATCCCCAGCAGAGGCTGGACTGAGGGCAGGGAAGACAAAGAGCAAAGTCTGATGTGTCCTGATGTGTCCACACCTGGCAGTGTTCTGAAACTAGTTTGAGGCTCACTGATGGAAAACACATAAATTTAGAAGGTATTTCTGCTGTACCAGCACTGCTGTCTCTTTATTTTATTTAGCAGCTTTGCAGGAATTACTGCTGTGTTTCCTGTAATACTGTGGCATTCCTTCAACAAGGAAAAGACAGTTACAGTGGCACCAAGAACATTGGACAGGCAGAGACTCAGTGCTGTCTGCAGAGGGACATGAAGAATGCACAAGCATGGGAGACAGAAATGGCTGCAGAGGTGACAGGAACTGGCTGAGACAGAGGCAGGAATTTTTAGTGTGTGAAGCATTTCAAGACATGGCCAGTTTGCAGCCAGGATGGCGTAACTGGCAGCAAAACCCTTCTGCTCTGTCAAGCATTACCTGCTGTGCTGGTTTAAAACAAAAATACCTATCACTGTGTGCTGCAGCAGGGTTTGTTAACTGAAAGATGATTGTAAACTACTCCTGCTGAACTCTTTGTGATCTCTTACCTCTACAGCTCAGCCCTATGGACAATAACCGTGCCAGGCTGACACACCCATGTCGAGGCTCCTGACTGGGGCACACCAAGCCAAGTGTTCAGGTAATAAGGACAGTTAAGGTACACTCTGAGAAAAAACAGCTCCAAACTTCCAGCTCCCCTCATGCCCATGCCAGTGGGCAAGCTGAGGAGGGAGCTGAGGCCCAGCCTTCTCCTTGGGAGCCTCTCCTGGCTCTGTGTGCACGCTCAGGCAGCAGGTCCTGCTCACCTGGACTCGTGCGGGTGTGGACA